GAGAGAGAGAGAGAGAGAGAGAGAGAGAGAGAGAGAGAGAGAGAGAGAGAGAGAGAGAGAGAGAGAGAGAGAGAGAGAGAGAGAGAGAGAGAGAGTGAGAGAGAGAGAATGTGGAAGCAGGCAATCATGGTTGGAGTAGCTTGAAGAAACAACATCGGCGTACTTTACCTCTCACTGGAACAAACATTGCATGCCTCGGGAGGTCGCTTAAGGGACAAGGCTTGCAGAGAAAAGAGCTGCTTCCCCATTCGTCCTTGTAGGTTCCAATAGGGCATTCCTAAAGCATCAGTTTTGCAGCAGAACAGGGCAGTCCGTAAGCATGCCTGCAGCAAAGGAGGAAAATAAAGCCCTCCTTTCGTGTTTACACAACTTTACAGTAATAAATTGTGTCCCCCAAAGTATCTGAGAAGTTTAAGTTTAATTCGAATGTCTGCATGAGAAATTATTATATAATATACATACATGGGGACAGACAGTATTTTATACGACATCCATAAAAATGGGAACCATAGGTTTGGGGTCACCATAGCGATGATCCACCAATAGACTGGAATCCCCTGTAAGACAGGTAGGAGTACACGCTCTTATCATCACTCCTATCTGTTGACGCAGGTAGTGTTTGTTGAAAAAAAAAAAAAAAAAAGGTTCGGGGTCACCATAGCGATGATCCAACGCAAACAGACTTCCAAATGGTCAATATCAGACATAAGTACACAAAGATGGGTTTATAACTTATAATACTTTATATTGAATACCATTGAAAGCAACACTTAGGAAGCAGCACTCAATAACAGCTTGCTTGAAATTAAACAAGTCCAGCTCAACTGCGCCAAGGGCTTTCCATAAGTAGGGTCAGCACTGACACTTAGTCCGAAGAGTTGTAGAGACTCCGTAGAAGTGAACCAGGGAAGGCAGAGCAATGACAGCGTAAAAGCAGAGCACGTGCAACAGATAGTCACAATTACATGCAAGCATGCAGTAATGACAATTGAACGCGGTGGGCAGTGCTGGCCTTGGTTCCCCCCTCCAAAAAAAAATAGAGCCTGTTGATCAACATACAAGAGGGACAAACACAGAAACAGATAAGTGGAATAGGCGGAGGAGGAGAAGACGGAAAAAAGGAAGACAAGAAGAGCAGTCCAGCCGGAATAGACAAGCAAGAAGGCAAGAGGAAGATGACAATAATAAAGGAAGAAGAACAGTCAAAAGAACTGGGCGAGCATCCAGATCTGAGTCCAAATAGTCCTCAATGCAGCAGAGGTGCTTTAAGATAACCGATGGTGCAAACCAATGCGCGCACAGGAACATACTGCACTCACAGCTCTACGATCAAGCCATCTGAAAATGTGCAAGAAACGCTGGACTGGATAACCAAACGCGTTTCAGCCATTCACCTTACAGCCTCTTCAGGGGTCTCTCAACTCGACCGAGATGCAAAAGCGATCTGTCTGGACAACAATATAGATGAGAAGAGAAAGAATTCTAGAGATCTCCAAAATATTCTGCAACACTTCCACCGGTTGGAGGACCCACTAAGAAACATACCATCCAGCATCCTACAACAGCACATGGTCAACTTGCATAATACGACCTATTTTCAGGCCCCTACTACCAGGTCCTTTGAAAAAGGAGGTCCAAATAACCACAGTACAGAACAATGAGGGAAAGAGACCCATAGCCCGTGCCTCCTTTGAAAAAGGAGGTCCAAATAACCACTAGTACCTTTGCCATCCGGTTTTGACAAATTTTAGCCTAGTCCCGAACTTTTAGGAGGCCGGGCCCGACAACGGCTGCCGTTGATAAATCTGATCGGGGGCCACCGTGTCGTTTCGGCCTCCTAAAATGTCGGAGCCCAATATTTTCCGAACCGACAAAGGTACTAGTGCTTTAAACACACACACACACACAGAGTGTGCTCCATCTGTTCTGGGAGGTGGCAGTCCGGTTGCTTATCACCTGCAAGCACACTAGCTCAAAAGTCTTCACTGGGCCCAAATAGCAGCATAGGCTACAAATTGATAATCATTTGCTCATGGATTTGAGAGGAATGCTAGTAAGTTAACATTGGATCAGGCGGTTCTCATAGAACTGAAGCGGCAGACCTCTACTCATTGGTTCCATGATTTATGTTCTTAAAGAGGACTCGTTGTTCTAGGGACACTGGACCCGATTTCCAGCAGGTGATGCTCCCCACCAATAGATTGGAGCTAATTCAAAAAAAAAAAAAAAGGTCAAAGAAAAGGACTTGGAGGCTAGAATAATCCAGGACTAAATTCACCAGGTAATAAATCTTCACAAGGCCCAAGTTGACCGTGGTCCTTATTTTTTTTCAGGGACCAATCGGGTTAAAGAAAAGGACCTGGAGGTTAAGGCAGCCCAAGCCTAAAACTGCCTTTCTCAGCGCTCAGAATCCTTATCTTCTAAACATTCATCGTGCCCCATTTGAATACATCCCCCTTTCAGAGAAATAATTGCCAGAGCATGCGCCTCCAGCTCGGCCTCCTCAGCTTCTTTGGGTAAGATAAATGATGCATGCCCAGAGATGATCCAGGGCAATGCAAAGTCCAAATATTACCAACATGAGGAAGAGATGTAATGTGTCACACCGGTAGACTCAAACCAAATAATAATACTCTCTCCTCCACCCCAATCTCCTCACCTCCTGTATGCCTCCAAACAATGAACCTCAGGTCTCGAGTCAGGGAGCGTGGATCCCGAAGTACCAATGCCAAGTCTCCCCCTTCTCTCTCTCTCTCTCTCTCTCTCTCTCTCTCTCTCTCTCTCTCTCTCTCTCTCTCTCTCTCTCTCTCTCTCTCTCTCTCTCTCTC